GACGACCTGTTTCGTCAGCGTTTCGGCCCGTCGCCAGACCTCCCGGACTGGCACAGTTTGCTTAGTCGTCAGATTCAGATCTTTGATATGGACATGGATGCCATTGTTTCTGCTCTGCATGTGATGTATGCTGATGACTCTAGTGTGCTTCCGACTTATTACTCACTGTTGCCTAGTGTAGGTGTGCCTAGCTGAGCCTCCCCTGCTGCGTCAGGCGTAGGATGCCCTGCTTTGTGTAGTCTTGGTGCTTCTGCTGTCGTTCCGTCGCCAGACCCCTCGGCTTCGCTTTCCTTCACCTTGGACTCTGGAGCCTCTCGGTGTTTCTTCCGCGACTTCACCACCCTGACGCCGCTTCCTGTTCCTGCTGCCGTTTCTCTTGCTGACCCCTCCGGCGGTCCGGTAGTCGCCCGCAGTTTCACCACCCTTCCCTGTCCGGCGGTTCCTTCGGGCACTCTCACAGGTCTGCATATCCCCTCGTTCTCCAGGAACCTAGTTGGTGTCGGCTGCCTCCAGGACCTTGGCGTCACCACTACGTTCCCTGGTCACGAGCGATATTCTGTCTGTACCGAGGCCGCCACTGGTGCCCCCCTGTCCACGTTCCCCCGGGACTCGGTGTCCGGCCTGTTCACTCTGGACACCGTGCCCCCCCCGGCTGGAGCGCCCCCTCAGGTGGCTGTGTCTACCCAGGTTGCTGCTGCCTGCTCCTGTCGCTCCCTCACTCACCCGACCCTCCTGTGGCACCACCGCCTAGGTCACCCTGCGCTCCCGCGTCTGCGTCACATGTCCCAGCACGGTCTTGTCCTTGGTCTCCCAGGTTCACTCCCCGCGTTTCCCTCCTCCCCAGCTCCACCTTGCACGCCTTGTGTCGAGGGCCGGCTTCGCCGTGCCCCTCACTCCTCCTCGTTCCCCCCTACCGCCGCGCCGCTGCAGACCCTGCACCTGGACGTCTGGGGCCCCGCCCCCGTCCCTGGGCCGCGTCGCGAGCGCTACTTCCTTGTGCTTGTCGACGACTTCACTCGTTACACCACAGTCTTTCCCCTGGAGCGCAAGGCCGACGTGCCTGGCGCCCTCATCCCCTGGCTTGTCTCTGCGCGTGTCCACCGCGGTCTCCCTGTCTTGCGTCTTCACTCAGACCGTGGTGGCGAGTTTGCCTCAGGTGTCCTTGGTCGCTTTTGTCGTGCGGAGGGCATCACCCAGACGTTCACCCTACCGGACTCCCCACAGCAGAATGGGGTCGCTGAGCGACGCATTGGCTTGGTCATGGAGGTCGCTCGCACCTCCATGGTCCATGCCGGTGCACCCCATTTTCTGTGGCCGTTCGCTGTGCACTTCGCTTCTCACCAGCTTAACCTGTGGCCCCACCCTCAGCAGCCGCAGGTTTCGCCGACCCGTCTGTGGACTGGGTCTCCTGGTGACGCGTCTGCGTTCCACGTCTGGGGCTGCCTTGCTCACGTCCGTGCCTCCGGCACGGACAAGCTCACTGCCCGCACCCTTCCCTGCGTCTTCCTCGGTTTTCCCCTTGACGCGTCCGACTGGCACTTTTACCACCCGCCGTCTCACCGCTTCTTTCACTCTCGTGACGTCACCTTTGACGAGTCCGTCTCCTACTACCGCCGCTTCCCCCACCGTGGTCCCCCGGTTACCCCCCCCCTGTTCCTGGTCACCCCTTCCCCGGTAGTCCCTGCCCCTCCTCCTCCTCCTCCCCGTCCCGCCCCCTCTGGTGTCTCCCATGTCACCCCCCTTCCGTCCGTGGACCCGGTTGAGGAGTCTTCTGACTCTGGTGGCCCTCCGGTGCAGTCCTCGCCGGCCGCCCCTCCCCAGGTGTCCCCTCCCCAGTCCCCTCCTCTGCCGCCACTGCAGCCGTCGCCGTCGCCGCCGCCGCCGCCGTCGCAGCCCCCGTTCGCTGACTCTGGGGGTGCTCGTCCCGGTCGCCCTGAGGGTGGTCCCTCTGGGGGTGCGGGTGTGGAGAGTGCCGGTGGTAGCCGAGGAGCAGCTTGCGGTCCAGGTGTCGCCGTTGTGCCGCCGCAGCAGCAGTCCCCGCCGGTGTCCGCCCTTCGCTTGCTCGGCCTTCCGTCCCCCGACCCTGCGTCGGTTCCTCCCCGACCGTCTCCTCCTCTTCCTGTCTACGGCCCTGTTTTCCCTCCGCCGGCCTCGTCCCCGGCCCGTCTCCCCCCTCATTCCCCTCCTGTGTCCCCTCCCCTGTCTCCTGACCCGACTCCTCCATCGCACGTCTGGTCTCACCGTCCCTCCCGTGCTCGTCCTGCCTCGCCTGTCCTGCGCTCCCACCCTATGTTGCTTCGTTCACACGCGTCTCGTCCTCCCCTTCTGCCGTCGCCTCCTCCGTCCTCCCTTGTTGTTGCGCCCCCCCCGCTGTCCGACTACCTTCGTGCCGCTCGTCCTCTCGTTCCTCGGGTCCTTGCCTCTCTCGTTACCGACCCGTCTGTTCCAGTCGGGTGCCTTGACGCTCTTGTCGCTGCTGTCGCTGACTTCGCCTCTACCCGCCGCCTTGACTACGCCACCGCTCTGGTCTCTGACCCTGCCTGTCCTCCGTCTGTCGGGGGTGCTCCTGCCCTTGGCAGTGACGTCCTGGAGGACCGCCAGTTCGAGCTTGCTTTCCTCTCCGAGGCTGCTCCCCATCTCTGTTCCATGCTGCTAGTCCCTGAGGGTGACCCAGACGCTTTCGACATCCCGACCCCTCGCACTTACGCTGAGGCGACTTCGGGACCCTGGGCCTCGCAGTGGATAGCTGCCATGGAGCAGGAGATGGCATCTTGGAGATCCACCGGCACCTTCGTCGACGCAGTTCCCTCACCTGGGGTGAACGTAGTCGATTGCCGCTGGCTCTTCAAGGTGAAGCGCCCTCCTGGAGAGCCGCCTGTCTTCAAGGCGCGCTATGTGGCTAGAGGCTTCAGTCAGCGCGAGGGGGTGGACTTCTTCCAGACTTTCGCTCCGACCCCGAAGATGACTACTCTTCGGGTTCTGTTACACCTAGCTGCTCAGCGTGACTACGAGCTTCACTCCCTCGACTTCTCCACTGCCTTCCTTCAGGGCAGCCTACATGAGCAGGTCTACCTGCACCGCCCTCCGGGCTTTACTGGCACCTTCCCTCCTGGGACCCAGTGGCTCCTGCGGCGCCCCGTCTACGGCCTCCGCCAGGCTCCCCGTGAGTGGCACGACACTCTGCGTGCTACGCTTGCTGACCTGCAGTTCTTTCCGTCTTCTGCAGACCCTTCACTCTTCGTTCGTGCTGGCCAGACTCCGTTCTACATCCTCGTTTACGTCGACGACCTGGTCTTTGCCACAGCAGACAGGGACGCGCTGGCCTCCGTGAAGGCAGAGCTGCTGAAGAGACACACCTGCACTGACCTTGGAGAACTGCGCCGTTACCTTGGCTTGGAGATCTCCAGGGACAGAGCTGCGCGCACCATCACCCTGACTCAGTCACACTTGGTGCGCCAGGTCCTTCAGAGGTTCAGCCTTCAGTTCTCCTCTGCACAGCCCACCCCTCTGCCTGTAGACCACAGGCTCTCCGCTCCAGTGCCTGAGGAGTTGGTAGAGCCCAGCGGCCCCTACGCAGAGCTGGTGGGTTGCCTCATGTACCTGATGACTTGCACTCGCCCAGATCTCGCATACCCTCTCAGCATCCTGGCTCGCTTTGTGGCCACAGGCAGACACCGACCGCAGCACTGGTCTGCCGCTAAGAGGGTTCTGCGTTATCTTGCTAGTACATCGGGCATGGGGTTAGTGCTAGGAGGACGCAGGCCAGCGGTCCTTACTGGGCACACAGACGCTTCGTGGGCAGACGACGCTGAGACACTCCGGTCTACCCAGGGCTACTGCTTCAGCCTTGGCTCAGGTGCCGTCTCGTGGAGAGCTACTCGCTCCTCGTCTGTTGCACAGTCCAGCTGTGAGGCTGAGATCTACGCCGGTGCCATGGCGGCACAGGAGCTCCGCTGACTGACCTTCTTGCTCACTGACTTAGGTGAGCGGCCTAGCTCTGCCCCGGTCCTGTTCGCTGACAACAGGGCCATGATCCTCCTGTGTCAGGAGCCTCGACTCGAGGGCAGAGCGAAGCACATTCAGCTGCGGTACTTCCTCCTGCGTGAGCTACAGCAGCGACGTCAGGCTCGCGTAGTACACTTGGCCTCAGGTGCCAACACGGCTGATATCTTTACGAAGGCACTTGCGCCTAAAGATCATCAGCGGCACTGTGTACAGCTTGGTCTAGTTCCTGTAGCCTCTCACTTGCTAGGACCTTGACTTTGTACTGTCCTTTATATGTATACTCAGACTGGACTTGTGTCCTCTCCCAGTGGCTGGACTAGTAGTGCCGCCCTGCTCTTGTGCTTGCCTTGTCTGTACTCCTTCTGACCGGTCGCTCAGACCCTTGCCTCAGAGGTTGGACTAGTAGTGCCGCCCTGAGCTGCTTGTTTAGGGTATTCCCCTATGCAGCCTAGGGGGTGTGTCAAACATGTGTATTTGTCATGTTTGTATAGACTGTATAGAGTCACCTCTTAGAGGATACAAAACTTAGATATATTTGTGTATACTCTCACTTTACCAGTATTCAATTATTCTGATACCCTTTGCTATTTTAGCTTGTGGTTTTAATAAACCCTTGATGTGACCTAGAAAAAGGTGAAAAGCCTGTATTGTGCTCAACGCGGTTATTGTAATACGATATAAATTACATCTGTACATTTTCTCCCATCCATACCATAAAGAATCATCCATATTCTTTTTAGTATCATAAATATTATTATTTAAATATTATTATTTATAATATTTTTTCGATATATTTTGATTCCCAACCAAACAATACATTCCTCACAACTTACACAATTATGAACTTTAATATGAAATGTAAATTTAAATGTCATACCAACTGTATTATTCTTACGATTCTACACATTGGAAATCTACAAACTGTGCAACCCCTCCGACGCTTGGGCGTCGAGCCTTGTTTGTCATTGCCCAGCACTCTCTTTCCCGCACTGCGGAACGCACTCCCAACTCGAGTGATCTAAGCAATCAGCGAAGCAACAATAATGGGGGAGCGTTCTGTTCGAGCTGAAGTTCCGCCCACTAGTAACGCCATGAGACTTGCTGACTGCCAGGTCGGAAGGAGCTTCCTGTTGCTGCTTTTACCCTCCCACTTAAGCCCCGACAATCTTCATTGCTTGTACAGCAGGTTTCTTGCAAGACGGAATGGTTGCCGTCGGTACACATTGGCAACCGAGGAACCAATAGCTTATGCGTATCGTGGAGATTTTCAAATGTTCGACAGCTACGCTTAGAAAACCCGATGAGAGTTGCCAATTGGAGCCTAGAGATAGACGACAATTGGTAAGTCAAAATACTCATGCAATGCTTTTCCTGTTTTCTTGTAGTAACTCTTGTTTCTCTTTGAAGGTCGTTGATTGTATCTGGAGGGAGTACCGACACCTGTCCCCTGGTGTTCGAGGTTCTGAGGGAGGCACCTTGCCCAGCAACCTTTCGCATAGTGCTGACGATCATTTCCGACATCGAGGAGCGATCTGTCTCTATAGGTGTAGTTTTGTGACTTTTAATTGCCTTTCTGGTGTTTCTCAAATTATGCTTCCTAATTGTCACAGCAGATGCAAAGTGGAACTTTAAACCTGGCTCGGCTTGGTCAAGTGGTAGTTCGTTCCAAATGGGGGAGGTCACCACTTTTGCTGCTGGTTTTGTGAAGGACAGCGTACTTAAAGGAGAGCTTATGCTGCTGTCAGGTAACTGTTGGTTATCGAATCTACTTCAATCTAACGTTCTGATAACGTGGATCAGATTCTGAACAGGATGAACTATCAAGGCCATTGCCAGCAGCTTTTTCGGACTTTCCCATTAAGTCCTGTGGGTTGTCTGCCAGAAGCATCATGTCAAGGACAACAGTTATAAGCATCTGCCCCAGGATTTTAGTATTTGAAAGTTTGCTCTCCAAAACTGAATGCGAGCACCTGATTAAGCTAGCAGCACCTCATATGCGAAGGTCACTTGTGAGCGGAAGAGCAGTCAGTGAGGTAAGCTTTCCTTATTCTCACATGGCTAATACTTGCTGCTGACTTGGCTTGTTTATTGCAGAATCGAACTAGCTGGAGTATGTTTTGCACGAACGGCCTGGACTTAGACCCTGTGGTTCAGTGTGTTGAGCGAAGGTGCATCTTCTTTATGAAGCTTTTGGGCTTACGTGTTGTCCCAGACAAGGAAAAGCTCCAGGTGAGTTGTTGGAGCTTCATATAATTATTTCGATTTTGAAACTACACATCGTCAGCTGCTGCTTCTCCTACAGATTATACGATACAAAGCTGGTGAAGAGTTCAAAGCACATTTTGACAATGGTATGTTCCTCGTCGTTCTTTTTGTCAACGCCTGTTGTTGATAATTTCTTTGTCAGACGTGGGAAGTTGCAGCAAACGTGCAGCCACAGTGCTCATGTAAGTTCAACTTTCTCTCGTCTCTTCTTCCTAGAAACATGAGCTTACACAGCGACTACCAGGTACCTATCGGATGTGGAGAATGGCGGAGAAACGTACTTTCCAAAAGGGTTTCCTGTGCACCAAGGCAGCGGATATGATGGTATTAGCTCTAGTGGTCCAGGCATATCTATTGCTCCAAAGAAGGTTCGCTTTTTCTATTTCCCCTCCGCTGTTGCATGTCTTATCAACTGGGCAGCTCACATACTGACATGGCAAATGCAGGGAAGGGCTATGGTTTTTTTCAGCCGCCGACCTGATGGATCTGAAGACCCTTGCAGTCTTCATGGTGAGTCTGCATTTCAAGATTCCTGGTGCATAATGCAATTTGTTGTGTGTTTGTTTAACTGCATGGTTTACTGATTCAGCTGGAGCAAAGGTCCGTCGTGGAGTAAAATGGGTGGCCTCAAAATGGATATCGATTCTTTAATTGATGGCGTTCATATGTATGATTGGGTTTGCTCCACTCATTGGCAAGCAAGGCGTTTGGGGAGAACATATTTACAATTTGTACAACTTATTTATTGCTGCTGGATTCCTAGCAAGCACGGCACATGGATGTACACATGAGTGTCAAACATGTGTATCTCTTATACTTTGCATAGATTGTATAGGGTCATCTCTTAAAGGGTACAACACTTAGATATATTCCTGTACTGTCTCTCTCTCTTATCATTCATTCAGTTTCTAAGATGGTATCAGCAGTAGGTAGGTCCCGCTCACCCACGCTTCCGCTCTAGGACCTCCCCGCCCTAGTCGCGCCCGCCCTAGCCGCGCCCGCCCTAGTCGCGCCCTGCGCGCCACCTCCCCTCGGCCCTAGCGCCCGTCCTAGCGGCCCCGTCGCCCGTGCCCGCCCTGGCGCCCGTCCTAGCCGGCCTAGCGCCCAGCCCTAGCGGCCCCTCGTGCCCGTCCTAGCGCCCACCCTAGCGGCCCCTCGTGCCCGCCCTAGCGCCCGCCCTAGCGGCCCCCATGCTCGCCCTAGCGGCCCCTCGCCCGTGCCCTCCGCTAGCGCCTCACCATAGCGGCCCCCCGTGCCCGCCCTAGCGCCCGCCCTCGCGGCCCCCGCACTTGCCCTAGCGGCCCCTCGTGACGGCCCCAGCGCCTGCCCTAGCGGCCCCCGCGCTACCCTAGGGGCCCCTGCCCTACCCTAGGGGCCCCTGCCCTCGTCCTAATCGGCCCCTGCGCCCGTCCCAGCCGGCCCCACGGCCGCCCTCGCGACCTCCGCGCCCTGCCCGCTCGGCCCCTGCGCCTATCCCAGCCGGCCCGCGCCCGTCCCAGCCGGCCCCGCGCCCGTCCCAGCCGACCCCCGCGCCCTAGCCCGCTCGGTCCCTGCACCTGTCCCAGCCGGCCCGCGACCGTCCCAGCCGGCCCGCGCCCGTCCCAGCCGGCCCTGCGCCCGCTCCGTCGGCCCCGCGGCCGTCCTGCCCCGAGCTGAGTGCGGCCCGCTCGTCGTGCCTCCTCCGGCCCTGCACTCTCCCTGGTACGGTTCCCCCCTCACCTGCACCGCACGGCACCGCACTGCACCGCCCTGCATCGCACAGCACTGCACGGTACCACATTGCATCGCACTGCCTCGCCCCGCACCGCACTGCACCGCGTTGCACCGCCTTGCACTGCACTGCCTTGCACCGCACTGTCCGGTCCTGCACTGCTCCTGATGGCGGCGGAGCTTCGCTTCGATGCTGGAGGCCAGCCTCTGGAGTTCGAGGCGTGGCTCGCCGACCTCCGTCGCCACCTCACTGGCCAGCGGCAGGATGGCCACCCGCTTTCTACACACCTTGACGGTATGCTCCCCTGCCCAGATCCCCCTGCTGTGCTGCCCGCTGACCCCACACCCGCTGAGCGCGAGTCTGCTGCAGCCGCTGCCCTTGCGCGCTCTGTCTGGCTTTCCCGAGACGCTGTCGCCCAGCTTGCCATTGGCAATGCCCTTCCCCCGTCTGAGCGCCCTCGCTTTAGGTCCATCACTACCGCCCAGGCTTACTTAGATGCTGTCCTCAAGCGCTATTCCACCCCTCCTGCTGCCTCGGTGGGTCGCCTGGTCCTCCCGCTGCTCTTTCCTGATCTTCCATCCTTCCCCACTGTCGCTGACCTGGCTGCCCACCTGCGCACGATAGATGAGACCTGGCGCGCTGCCTGCACTGACGCCCAGCTTAGTGCCCACCAGCCGCCCATTACCTCTACCCTCTACCTGGTTGCCACCCGCCTCCCTGACCGCCTTGCCGCCGCCCGCGACCGCTTCCTTAGTATCCACCTCGGTGAGCTCACCCTCACCGACTTTGTAGACACCCTGACTGTTATAGAGACCCGCCACCGCTCCATCGCCCAGGCGAGCGGTACCGTGCCGGTCCCTATCTTTCAGGGTTGTGCCCTCGCTCAGTGTACCTTCTCTGACGGTTCTGCCGCTGTGGCTGAGACTGCTGCTGCCGTGCAGTTCCGTCCGGGGAAGGGCCGCCGCCCCAAGGCTGGGCGCGGCGGCGGAGGAGGGGGTGCAGGTGGGGGTGGTGGTGGATTCAGGTCTTCTGGTGCTGGAGCGGACGAGGGGACCCTACCCGGTCCAGCTGAGCAGCCGCCTCCACAGTCGCAGCAGCAGCCGCAGCCGTCGCAGCAGCCGAGGCAGGCGAGTGTCCTCCCGCCTGGGTGGCCTGGAGCTGGAGGTGGTCGTGCCATGGTGGTGTCCCGGGTGGTGGTTCGGGAGGTGTGCGTTGCCAGTACCAGATCCAGACCGGTCCTCGCCGCGGCTTCGTTTGCGGTAAGAGCGGTCATACCACTCCTCGCTGCTTTCGTCGCCTGGACGACCTGTTTCGTCTGCGCTTCGGCCCGTCGCCCGACCTCCCGGACTGGCACAGTTTGCTTAGTCGTAGTATTCCGATTTTTGACTTGGACATGGATGCTCTTGTTTTTGCTCTGCATGTGATGTATGCTGATGACTCTAGTGTGCTTCCCGCTTATTACTCATTGTCGTCTAGTGTAGGTATGCCTAGCTTAGCCTCCCCTGCTGCGTCAGGCATAGAAGCCCCTGCTTTGTTTAGCCTTGGTGCCTCTGACGTCGCCCCGTCGCCGAACGCCACTGCTTCGCTTTCCTTCACCTTGGACTCTGGCGCTTCCCGGTGTTTCTTCCGCGACTTCACTACACTGACGCCGCTTCCTGTTCCTGCCGCTGTTTCTCTTGCTGACCCCTCCGGCGTTCCGGTAGTCGCCCGCAGTTCCACCACCCTTCCCTGTCCGGCAGTTCCTTCAGGCTCTCTCCCATGTCTGCATATCCCCTCGTTCTCCAGGAACCTAGTTGGTGTCGGCTGCCTCCAGGATCTTGGCGTCACCACTACGTTCCCTAGTCACGAGCGGTATGCTGTCTGTACCGAGGCTGCCACAGGTGCCCCTCTCTCCACATTCCCCCGGGACCCGGTGTCCGGCCTGTTCACCCTGGACACCGTGACCCCCCCCGGCTGGGGCGCCCCTCCAGGTGGCTGCGTCTTCCCAGGTTGCTGCTGCCTGCTCCTGTCGGTCTCTCACTCACCCGACTCTCCTTCGGCACCACCGTCTAGGTCACCCTGCGCTCCCGCGTCTGCGTTACATGTCCCAGCACGGTCTCGTCCTTGGTCTCCCTGGTTCTCTCCCCGCTTTTCCCTCCTCCCCAGCCCCACCTTGCACGCCTTGCGTCGAGGGTCGGCTTTGCCGTGCCTCTCACTCCTCCTCGTTTCCCCCTACCGCCGCGCCGCTGCAGACCCTGCACATAGACGTCTGGGGCCCCGCCCCCGTCCATGGGCCGCGTCGAGAGCGCTAATTCCTCGTGCCTGTGGACGACTTCACTCGCTTCACCACAGTCTTTCACCTAGAGCGGAAGGCCGACGTACCAGACGCTCTCATCCCCTGGCTTGTCTCTGCGCGTGTCCACCGAGGTCTCCCTATCTTGCGCCTTCACTCAGACCGTGGTGGCGAGTTTGCCTCAGGTGTCCTTGGTCGCTTTTGTCGTGCGGAGGGCATCACCCAGACGTTCACCCTGCCGGACTCCCCCCGGCAGAATGGGGTCGCTGAGCGACGCATCGGCTTGGTCATGGAGGTTGCTCGCACCTCCATGATCCATGCCCGTGCTCCCCATATTCTGTGGCCGTTCGCCGTGCGCTACGCTGCTCACCAGCTTAAAATGTGGCCGCACCCCCAGCGGCCGCAGGTTTCGCCGACCCATCTTTGGACCGGGTCTCCTGGTGACGCGTCTGCGTTCCACGTCTGGGGCTGCCTTGCTCACGTTCGTGCCTCCGGCACGGACAAGCTCACTGCCCGCACCCTTCCCTGCGTCTTCCTAGGTTTTCCCCTTGACGCGTCCGACTGGCACTTCTACCACCCGCCGTCTCACCGCTTCTTTCACTCTCGCGACGTCACCTTTGACGAGTCCGTCTCCTTCTTCCGTCGCTTCCCCCACCGCGGTCCCCCGGTTACCCCCCCCTTCTTCCCCTGTGGTCCCTGCCCCTCCCCCTCCCCCTCCCCGTCCTGCCCCCTCTGGTGTGTCCTACGTCACCCCTCTCCCGTCGGTTGTCCCGGTTGAGGAGTCTTCTGACTCTGGTGGTCCTGCGGCGCCGTCCTCGCCGTCTGCCCCTCCCCCGGCGTCTCCTCTTCCACCGCCTCTGCAGCCGCCGTCGCCTCTGCTGTCGCCGCCGTCGTCCCCGCAGCCGCCGCCGCCGTCGCAGCAGCCGTTCGTTGCCCCTGGGGGTGTCGGCGTTGGAGTGGGCTCTAGCCCCGGTGGCCCTGGGGGTGGTGCCGGTGCTCGAGGGTGTTCCTTCTGGGGGTGCTGGAGTGGAGTCTGTCGGTGGTAGCCGCGGAGCAGCTTGCGGTCCCAGTGTTGTCTTTGTACCACTACAGCCGCAGTCCCCGCTAGTGTCTGGCCTTCGCCTGCTCGACCTTGAGGTGGAGGGAAGGTGCCAGTAAAGCCCTGAGGGCGGCGCAGACGTGCAGGCTGCCCTGAAGGAAGGCAGTGGAGAAGTCAAGGGAGTGAAGCTCGTAGTCACGCTGAGCTGCTAAGTGTAGCAGAACCCGAAGAGTAGTCATCTTCGGGGTCGGAGCGAAGGTTTGGAAGAAGTCCACCCCCTCACGCTGACTGAAGCCTCTAGCCACGTAGCGCGCCTTGAACACAGGCGGCTCTCCAGGGGGGCGCTTCACCTTGAAGAGCCAGCGGCCATCGACTACGTTCACCCCAGGTGGGGGAACTGCGTCGACGAAGGTGCCGGTGGATCTCCAAGATGCCATCTCCTGCTCCATGGCAGCTATCCACTGAGAGGCCCAGGGTCCCGAGGTCGCCTCAGCGTAAGTGCGAGGGGTCGGGATATCAAAAGCGTCTGGGTCACCCTCAGGGACTAGCAGCATGGAACAGAGATGGGGAGCAGCCTCGGACAGGAAAGCAAGCTCGAACTGGCGGTCCTCCATGACGTCACTGCCGAGGGCAGGAGCTCCCCCGAAGGACGGAGGACAGGCAGGGTCAGAGACCAGAGCTGTGGCGTAGTCAAGGCAGCGGGTAGAGGCGAAGTCAGCGACCGCAGCGACAAGAGCGTCAAGGCACGAGACCGGAACAGACGGGTCGGTAACGAGAGAGGCAAGGACCCGAGGAACGAGAGGACGGGCGGCACGAAGGTAGTCAGACATAGGGGGG